GACCAGCTTCAATCTTGTAGGCTACTCACTTCCTTTCTTGTAGCCCTCCAAAGGGTTTTGGAGGTTGATGCCTCGGTGAACGTGAGTGGTTTCTTGTCCGCAGCAGCAGAAAGCATTTTCTAATGTTTGAATGAATCAAAGTGGGTCGTCACCGTGGATTTTCTATAAGACTTATGCTCCAACACACAGTTGCACGTGGTGCAGAATAGTTTCCCCCCACTTTTGTGAAAGACATCGGGGTACTGCTTTGCCCGGTCTTTAGCACAAATGTTCGTCGGTAAATGAGATGGATCCGATTTTTGCGTCCTCATCATCACTACTTCACGTCAAGACGGGTTAACTTTTTTTCTTCTCAACTTTGTGTGGAAAAATGCGGGGATTATGCGGCCTTTTCAAAATCTGCGCCATTTTGCTGATTATGCGGTAAATTCTGCGATCGCAGAATCGCGTTTTTCTGGAGGGTCTAATTAATAATTAAGAACCATTTATAAACCAGTTCTAACATAGTTTCCATACGTCAACACAGGCTCACTATTTGGCAAGATGACTAAGCCTTATATTGGCTACTTAGCAAGAATCAACTCAATGAACAACAGATACCAAGGATGCTGGCTGAGGAAGGAGACGAAGTAAGCTAGGTAGCCAATATAAGGCTTAGCAGTACAGATACATGTGGGCTCACTATTTGGCAGCCGGTCACAGTCGCCCTGTTTATCTCATGTCTTATAAAAGCTTATTAATAAATTATAAAGTTTTCACAACCTAATTAATAAATGAAATGCAAACTATTTGTATACCCTTTATAAGGGCAGTCTTATTGTAAAGTGGTTCCAAAAAATCTCTCCAATGCTCTAACAGCCTTCAAAACATGTATTTTATCATAGCTTTAAATAAGTAACAAAATATGAAATCATAGCAAGAGAAACTATTCAACCTCCGTGATTCACCTTGATGAGAAGGATGATTTAAATACAGTTTGTGCACCCAGCTCTCCTTCACTGATCTGGTCATCTGTGGCTGTGTGTGGTCTGTGTGTGGCGTCAGGCTTCTTATAGCCTCTGTAAGACAGGACTCTGTGAGATCGCCAAGGACACAGGCATTCTTGGTCTGCAGCTGCGTAGCAACCAGAGGAAGAGAGGGCGAGCAATCACAGACGGGGGTGAACAGAGCTGTCATGTTGAATTAACAGAGAACTGTACGACCCCGCAGAGAAAGATTACCCGGAGCACCAATGGAAGACTTGTCAGACTATCATTCTGTCTTTTTCTTCGGGGCTCGCCTTTTTATTACATCCTCCCTCTCAACCTTTCTAATACCTCACAAAATCCTTTTTGTTCACCTAGTGTCCTTTTCTAACATCCCCTTCCTGTCTTATTCAAGCAATTTGAGCCTTCCTAATATTACCGTGTGCTTTCTGCTCTCTTCATCCCTGAGGCAAGTCCAAAGAAGAAAGAATAGAAAAATGAAAAGTTTCTCCGAGGGCGGGGCCTTGCTCGGCTCATTTATCCTCTCCTGTATCCTTCCTCGACCCCTTTCTCTCCTGCCGGCTGGGCGAGATGGAGAGTTGGACTTCAGTGGCTGGAGCCGTTGGTGCTCTCAGAGCCCAATTATGCTGACATCACAGGAATGGATGTGCTGGCATCTGTGCATTTAGCAACTTTGGCACACACACACACACACACACACACACACACACACACACACACACACACACACACACACACCCCCTGTAGAGGTATTAGCCTGCAGATTAACTCCTCTGCATGTCTTCCAAAGAGTTGGACTGCAGCTCCCATTATTCCCGCTTTGAGAACTGATCTGGCTCCCTCTAAATTGGTGTAAGAGTGTTTTTCGTCTTTGTGAATAGGATGTGTGTGTATGAGAAGAGTTCTCCAGCCTTGGTCCCAGCTCATTAAAACACACACACACACCTCTTCTCTTCCTTGTGGGACATTTGTTGCGGTTTCCTTTTATGCAGGCAGATGATGAACTGTCTGACTGCCGCACCTGTCAAAGTACTCTGGCATGTACTGACTTGTTTCCACACATACACACCTTTGGAGAACCTTTGCTGATTCTCACACACACCCACTCTGACCTGAACAGAGCGTGTACTCCCTTGTCAGCGACCTCACTCGGAGCTTTCTTATGACAAGTGCGGCTTTGAGGCGGCACGGCTTGATGCTGGAGCGACTACTTTTCAGCGTGAGTCACTGGTGGGTGAGGCAACATTCAAAACATACACTCACTGTGCTTTTCCTGGCATTGTGAACGGAGAGCTGTCACTTTCAGCGCCAGACCTGTCACAGCTAGTCAGAGAAGGTGTTGGGAGAAGATAAAGATGGACGAGGAAAGGATGGATGCTTTTGTAGAAGGAATATTTTGGCGTGACAAGTTTGGCTGCCTTGCTTGCATTTGAAGGTCATTGCTTTGCAGCTGTGGACTAAAGCACTTGCCTTAGGTTGGCATAAGAATAGTAAACACATAATCAAAGTGTAGCAACGGGAAGAAAGGAACACTCAGTATTCTGACAGTGAGTTTGTTTTGGTAGACACTCCCTGTAAATCCACACCATCACCTTGTCTTTGTCTTGTTCCTTCACACCCAATAAGGTAAGGACATGTTGGCATCGTTTGTATAACCAGCTGAAGAAACCAAATGAAGGTGACAGTGAGGGCAGTGCTCATTCTTTCATTGTCTAGACCGTAAGCCACAAAGCAGACCGATGACATCACAGGGCCATTTTCATAGCTTGTTATCCTTCCTGAAGTATCTCTCTCCCATTACATTCATACCTCTGTGTCTCATCTCCTCTGTGTTTTGGACCGCTGCTCTTGTTTCTCACAAACAACATATTATATATCAGTTTTGAAACCGAGTGTTTTTCTATTTATAATTTCGCCCCTCTAACTTATGTCTCCTGTGTCCTGCAGCCTTATCTGAAGAGCTGGTCCCAGGATCTCGGTGTCCCCATTTTGTCCATCGACTACTCTCTGGCCCCCGAGGCCCCCTTCCCCAGGGCGCTGGAGGAGTGTTTCTACGCCTACTGCTGGGCTCTGAAAAACCACCACCTACTAGGTACACAGACATTTCATTTAGCTGACGCTTTTATCCAAAGAGACTTACAATAAGTGCATTTGGCCAAGAAGATACAAACTTGAAGAAAACAGAATCATATAAGTACATCAGGTTTCATAGAGCCAAAACATTTCAAGTGCTACTCAACTGGCTTTAGTTAAGCCGGTCCTTTGTTAGTATGTAAGTGCTTAGTTAGTATGTAAGTGCTTAGTTAGTATGTAAGTGCTTAGTTAGTATGTGAGTGCTTAGTTAGTATGTAAGTGCTTAGTTAGTATGTAAGTGCTTAGTTAGTATATGAGTGCTTAGTTAGTATATAAGTGCTTAGTTAGTATGTAAGTGCTTAGTTAGTATATGAGTGCTTAGTTAGTATGTGAGTGCTTAGTTAGTATGTGAGTGCTTAGTTAGTATATAAGTGCTTAGTTAGTATGTGAGTGCTTAGTTAGTATGTGAGTGCTTAGTTAGTATGTAAGTGCTTAGTTAGTATATGAGTGCTTAGTTAGTATATAAGTGCTTAGTTAGTATATGAGTGTTTAGTTAGTATAATATAAGAGCTTTTTATTTAGTTTTTAGTTTTTTCATTCTATCGCTCGAAGTGGAGTCTAAAGAGATGAGTTTTCAGTCTGCGCCGGAAGATGTGTAAGCTTTCTACTGTCCTGATTTCAATGGGGAGCTCATTCCACCATTTTGGAGCCAGGATAGCAAACCCACGTGTTTTTGCTGATGGGAACTTGGGTCCCCCTCGCAGTGCGGGTGCAGCGAGCTGTTTGGCTGATGCAGAGCGGAGTGCACGTGCTGGGGTGTACAGTTTAACCATGTCCTGGATGTAGGAAGGGCCAGATCCATTCGCAGCATGGTACGCAAGTACCAGGGTCTTGAAGTGGATTCTAGCAGTTACCGGAAGCCAGTGAAGGGAGCGGAGGAGCGGNGTGTGTGGCAGAGTTCTTTCACTTTGATTCAGTTGCAATCAGAATTGAATATGTATTTTTTTTTTAAGTTAATTGACAAAAGAGTTGCTGAAGAAGGCTTTAAACGATTTCGCTGCACTCCAGTTCATAGAGCAGGGGGTGTCCCGCGGGTCTTAAAGTTATTAAAGTTGATTAATTCAATTTAGCGAAAAGTAGGCCTATTAAAGTCTTAATTGCATTTGCAGGTATGCATTTTGTAGCTTGTTTTCAATATATATACATTCGTCCAAGCGGTTGTTTCTCAGTTGCCTTTGAATGTATCATTGCGGTAGGTGTGTAGGTGTTGATTCTGTGTAAGTTTATTTATGGCAATCCCTTGGATGTGACCGCTCTGAACAGGACTTGCACGCTCACTGTTGATCGCGAAGCGAAGGTCCGTTACGCCCGGTTGTTAAACAACATCGTATGGGGAAATCCGTCATGCGTCAATGGTTGTAGTAGGGAAGAAGGGACATCAATACTGTATATAGTAAATGTTTCGCCAGATGTACCGGTTTAAAACTTGAAGTGGCGGAGGCTTAAAATGTATGGAAATGGTCTTAAAAGGGTCTTAAAAGTAATTTAAATTTTGCTTCGGATTCCTGCATATACCCTCTGTTAGAACTATACCTGTAGACAGGGTGGCGGAACCTTTTCCTCTCAAGGCCAATTTCAATTTTTAAACCATCCTCCCGGGCTCGTAAGAAATTTTGACCCTCTGCTTAAAATAATAAATCACACCCATTTCATTCGCCTTTCTTTCATGCCGTGCAAAGAAAAAGCAAACTCTCATCCAGATATTTTACATGACTCCGTGCATGCATTCCGTGCCGGTTGTGTGCTGACCACCAAAACAGAAAGTATATTGGACACAAGATATGTGCAAATGTATTTCGTTTCCTATCCATGTTGACGTGATTTAATAGTGGGGGGGGGGGGACCTAACCTCCTCTAGGGGGGTCCTCACCTCCCCGGGAAGATTTTTTTGGATACATCTCTCAACATCCATATGAAACAGAACTGGAAGCAGATGTATTTTTCTTTATGGATATTTTACAAATCACTCCCCTTTCAAACTGTATTCTTGTTTACTAATAACAACTTTTATTTACTGTCTTATAGTATTTTATACCTGTTTACTTTATTCTCTTGTTTTTTAGAACTATAATGATCATATAAAGATGTGCCTTTACCTCACTGGTTGGAGAAAAAGCTTCTTATATTCGTTAGCATAGCTAGCTAACCAGATGCTAATAACAACAAAGTTATTGACTGTATGATCAGTTTGACAGATGAACAGATCGCCACTGGGCTTACAACTAAAGACACAGCCACGCAGAAACTGCGGCATGTGTACGGCTCCTTATGGGTACTGCAATTTTTGGAAGTGCAGAAGTGATGTTCTGGTGCTCCCCTGCCAGACGAGACATATACGACGTGACGACACGTTAGGCTCGTGTTGTGTTCAAGGACCCTGACCTTGGCCAGGAAAAACAGGCACTCGCCTGTTTAATTTTTTGTCTACATTTCTTTAATTTTTTCTTTTTTGCGTGTGTTTATAAATTACCTCGAGGGCCGTAGCAAATGGTCTCGCGGGCCGTATACGGCCCGGGGGCCGGAGGTTCCCCACCCCTGCTGTAGAGGGACGAGTGGGTTATCGCCTGAAAAATAACAAGAACAGATTCGTGTTGGCTCTTTATCAATGTTAATTTGTTGTTGTTGATGGAAGACAATAAAGGCCTGTATGTGAAATACAGGATTTGAAGAATAGCACAGAATGGTTTCTTTCTTTGTGAAATTAACATAACATGAACGTACTCTGTTGTTATTTTGCAGGAGGGCACTTCAAAGTTCGCCACTTTGGAAACCAACCCCAAACGAGCTCAGAGGAGACAGCAGCAGCAGAGAGAACTGGTGAGTCCATGAAGCATCAGAAGTATATTTATCTTATTTTTTTAAATAAGTTAAGCCTCTGCTATATGTGGCTCTTCTCACACATTCATCCATTTTGTGCAAACAGTCCCCTCCAATGGCAAGTGAAGTCACTGCGCTCATGGAGTAAATACAAACTGAACTGTAACAGTGAGGAAATCCATCGCTTATCAAAATACTGATAGTAGCTAATCAGCCACTTTTGTTTGACCTGCAAAATATGGACCAATTAAAAATACACATGACATGACATCCATCATAACGTAGTGATGAAATTGTCCAGGAAAATCTGAAACTCAAGATAAATTATACTCATCATGTGTTCAGATACGGAACATCAAGTTATCAAGAGCTCTTTATCCTTAACAACTTGACATGTATATTCAATATAGATGTATTTCTTTGTATTGGATTGTGTCTATTTAGTGGCTTGTTTTATGCTCTTTTTTTGTGCTTCTTGTATTTTTTTCCCCCTTTTTTATGTTAATTTCTTTAGTTTAGTTTAGAGGAGGTCTGTTGTATAGGTTCACAACCTCTTGACCTCTCCTGGCAAATCTCGAAAGAATACCAGTATCTGGATTTTATGCAATCTTGTGTGTGTGCAGAAAAAACGAATATTAAAAAAAGTTTGTTGTAGTAATTGCATAGAACAAGTTTGTTTTGAAAAGTGCTAAATATGGCTTTTATCTCATGCACTTTTGTGCCTCTCTGCCATGAACAAATGGTAACCACTACACTCAAGTGTCTCAGCCTCCATGTTTCCTACCTCTGCTGACTGCCCTCTGTCCTGTGTGAGCAGGGAGTGATGCAGGGGACCATTCCTTACCTGGGGACCTTCCTGACGGACCTGGTGATGATGGACACTGCCATGAAGGATTACACTGAGGTTGACATGGGACTTTACTCTTATATATTTGTATTGGTATTAAGGCCTAGTAATGCATTACTTTGTAGAGCGTTACTGTAATCAGATTAGATTTGAGTCGCATAGCAGAGATAAACAGGCTTGTTGCGGAATACATCGAGAAGGAAATGTTGCCCGTTACGACAGATTATCTGGATCTGTGCTGATCTAGGCATAACTTAGGTTTAAATGTATATTGTTATTTTTCATTTGATTTGTGGTAGATCTCAGGTGATGTTAAAGAGTAATCTAACTATTAGTGTAACTAAGTCCCTTCAGCAGTGAGTAATTGAGTATTGTAAGGCATTACTTTTGTTTTAAAGTTACTAATAATGTGGAATGCATTTCTTTTTTAGAGTAACTGACCCAACACTGTGCAAGACAAACTAGCATCCCCCCTCAGATTGTATTAGGTATGTGTGCTTTGTGTTAGCAAAGCCCTGAACCAAGCTCCATTCTGAAAACAAGCATTTTAAAGGATGGTTTATTTTCTTCTTGCAAATAAGCCACGATAAATTGAGATGTACAGTATGTTTTCTCAGACTTTGTATAAATTAGCTTCACAACTCAGTCTGACAGCGATTGAGCAAGGAAGACGATCCGTGTACGGCGATAAAAGTGAGTTAAACTAGCAGCGGCTTTCAGAGTCTGTCTGACGATCTGCTTAAAGAAGCTTTTTGGTCATTGTTTTGACAGTTTCAGCCTGAAAGACACGGACAAAAACAAGCTTCTTCTCCAATTTCTACAGTCACCGCCATTTTTCTGAAAGGTTTAAAATATATATTTACTAGAATCCATCGGAGACACAGCACAAAAGAACTGAAAAAAGACGCTGGGTGCTTTTTCATTATCCAGCCGCATTCAACGTCAAGCACTCTCTCCTCATACTAAACTATTAAAAAAGATGCTGGCGCTCAGAAGAAGGCGCTATGTGGATACAGGCCCTTACTTCCTCTTTGGCATGTTCACATTTTTTTAACATCCCATTTTTCATGTTTTTTTATTTCAGGGTGGTCTGATCAACTTTGAGAAGAGAAGAAAGGTGGGTCATACTTTTTGGGTTACCTAAAAGAACAGAAGAAACGAAGTGGCTCCCAGTTCAGATCTCACTAACTGGTTCTTAACCCTCCCTTGCTCTCTTATGTTTTTTTTTGCAGGAGTTTGAGGTGATCGCTCAGATCAAGCTGCTCCAGTTAGCGTCCAACAACTACAGTTTCACT